AATTTTTATGTAAATTAATTATAAAATAATACATTTATTACACCCTTAATCTATGCTTTAACAGTACAAGATAGAGAAATCCATCAAAATAATTGAAGGAAAGGCGAGGAAGAAAGTTCTTTGCTTTATTTTTTAAAATTTATTTATTTATTTGAATGAAAGAAAAAGGGAGGAGAATGGATTCCCTTTTTTTTCTCCCCTCCTCTCTCTTTCCCTTTTCTCCATTCTCCTCCACCTAAATATATTATACATTACACAATTTTGAGGAGAAAATGTGTAAATAAGAATACAAACTTTACTAATTTTTTTTTAAAGAATGTGAACTTTGTTAATTTTTAAGTAAAGTAAATTTTTAACATTTTTTATTTAAAAATAACAACTTTGCATTTTTTTCTAATTGTTTCAAAATAATAATTGTTTTTAAATTTAAAATCTGTTTCAAATTGAATGTCATTTTTTATATTTTAAAAAAATAAATATTTTTTTTGTAACTTTAACTCTATCATTATACATTAATTTTAATTATCTATTCTATTAAAAAAATTTATTTTATCTTTTATTTATTTATCAAGAGTCATACAAGAAAGGAATAAATTATTTATAAATTCTTAATTTTTTTTTTAAAAAAACATGACTATTATTTTGCACAGATAAAGTGATTACTAACAAAGTTGCGGTAAGCACGCTCAACCAATTCTATTTGTATAATTAGAATTTTGTTTCACAATATATATAGATCCTCTTGTTTGATTGACAAAACTATGACCAAAAGGTTTTGCTAGAGGATAATATTATGTTGCATGACCAAAAGGTTAATTTGGATCAATAGAAGGTAGCGCTAATAACTTAAGTGATATAGTGAGAATTAAAAAAATAAAACAAAAAATTTTATTTAAATAGTAAGTATGTTTGCAAAATAAGTAAAGGGTTAGAAGAGAATTACTTCCTACGAACTCAAAATTCAAAAAACACTCCCCTGCTAGCTCTTACATAGTTTTTTTTTTCTTTTGTTGGGATTTGAACAATTAAGGTTTTTCTGGATTTATTTGCCTACACTTTAATGATAATTTCTTTGTGGACAACGTGCCTTAATTAAGAGATCATACCATATATCACATTAATATGGTGTATTCAATAAAATTAAATTTACTTATGTCAAGACCTGAACCCTAACTTCACTTAAAGGGCGTGATCAATATATTGTAACAAAAGGGAGATTAGTTTATCTAGGTTATTCAAGGACAATATTTGTTATAAAATATGCCTCAATCTGGGTGGGAATTAACTTGTAAGCTATACATCAAACATTTACGTAGTTTTTGGGAAATTTACATTTACATAGTATGATAGCGCAGATAAGAAAAGAAAAAAACAATTTAAAAA